CAAATAGATGACAAAGGAAAAGTGGTGAAAAAAAACACCAACAGAAACAAGAAAGCAGCTCATGTATTGGCCCAAACGTGAAAAGGATGGGAATGGGACACGGTTTTGTGGCTCTCTGGCAGACCATGGGTTAAACGAATGCTGTTTCTCCTCTCCTGTGCTACAGCAACTCTCATCTTTTTACCATGCTCCACACCTTGAGAGTGCAGCTCATTCAGCAGCTGAGCGAGGGGATGCAGCTGGCAGCCAGGCCTCCTGATCCAGAAATGGCTACAGAAGGGCAGGGAATGAGGGCACTGAGAATAATCCCAAAAACAAAGACTCAGTAAGGAAAAAAGAGAAAAAAAAAAAAAAAGAAAAGAAAAGAAAAAGAAAAAAAAATTCACTGAGTGAATCTGCCTGGAGATTGGGTCAGGGACTCGTAGATAAGGAAGTGAGAAACCATCAGTTTCAGTAAATGTCACTAATTAACATGGACTGCTGCTCACAGAAAGTCCCGCTAATTTCCTGAACTTCCAGAAGAACAAAGACTTAACAGAGCCGTGAATATCGGCTGTTATACAAAAGTGGGAATGCACATTAACGAGGACATGCAGTTGGTGGATCGGGAAGTCTGAACCTTCCAAGTACTTCAGGCAGTGGGCAAAGGGAGAGGGAGATGAGGCCGGGAAAATGAGGATAAAAAGGAGGCTGCGAACTACAGCAATGGCAGAGAGCGCACGGCAAATGCGCCACGGCCTCTCCCTCTGCTCAGCAATAAAGTCACTTGTACAGGACTCCTCTGTCTCCTCGGGGCACAGAAACCTCCGGCCACGTCAATTTCCCCGCACAGCCCCGGGCACGGGGCAGCCGCCTCTGTCCCAGCCACAGCAACCGGGCCGAGCCAGCGCTGCTCCGGCAGCGGCTCCTGCCGAGGCAGCGGCCGCAAGGAGACCGCGGGCAGCTGCTCCCGCAGCGCCCTCACGCCAGCGGCAACACGCGCCGGACACGGCACAACGAACCCGCCTGAGCCCCCTGCCGCCCCCGAGGACCGCAGCGAGCCCCGAGCCCCCGCACAACCCAGCGCGCCTCCCACCTGCGCTCCGGCCGCCTCCCAGCTCCGCCGCCGCCTCACCGCGCTCCGGCCGCTGCCGCCGCTCCCGGGCCCGCACACACGCTCCGCCAATGGCGCCGCTGCCGAGCCACGGCCGCCCTCAGGCCGCCACCGGGGCCCTGCCCCGCCCCGATCTCACCAATCAGCGCGCCAGAACCACGACTGACGGCACCGTCGGCCAATCGCAGCCAGGGGCGGGCTCTGCACACGGCACAGCCTCGCCCCGCGCTCTCAGGGCCCCCGGGCTGCGTGAGGGCAGAGCCGGAGATGAGGAACAGCCCTGGAACGGGCCCGGGCCCGAGGGGATTGAGCTGAAAACACAAACAAACTGCTCCGCACCTCCCGCCACGGCTTTCCCGGCACTGCGGCTTCGGTGGCTCAGCGGGAAGCCCTGGAGCCTCTCTTCTCCTACCCCTAATTAGGAGCATCAGGGCATCGCTTTGATTTCCCCCAAAAACGGAAAACCGCCCCAAACCCCTGTGGATGAGTGGGGGAGGGGAGAGATTTCTGACAGAAAACCCCAAAAACTCGGAGCCGGATAATGAGAATGTGGAAAATAGGTGTGAAAAACGCCAATCATTTTTTTTTTAAATTTTAAAAGTTTAATAGTAATAAAATGGTTATAAAAATAGTAATACAATTAGAGTAATAATAATTTGGGCAATTTGAATTAGGACAATATGAGACAATAGAGATAAAGAGTTACGGACGTCCGGGTACCTTTTTCTGGGCAGTAGGAGCGCTGAAAAGGACACCCGTTAACACAGGAGTAACCCTTAAAAACAATAGCCTGTTGCATATTCATACACTTCATACATGATGTATAAATTCCATTCAAATACAGGATTCCGTGTGCTCAGTGCCACCTTCTTCCTCTGAATCCTACAGCGCCTTCAAGGCGAGAGAAGTTCATTTGTTCTGATAAGAGAGCAATAAATTCTTTTTCTCTGAAAGATTTAGGTGTCCTGTGGCTGCTATCTCGTTCAAGTCCTTTCTTTAAAAAAGTCTCCTACCAAGCATAATTTCTATTTTAACATGTTTTTAATAACCTAAAACTATATTTAACCCACTACTTAAGAGAATTAATACAGCAGTACTTTCTAACACAAGACATACAATATTCATTTCAATATTTGCGAAAAGCCAATCACAAAATATGCATTTTTCACAAGTGTAATCCCACTTACTTCCAATCTCCCAGTATGGTCCCAGCTGCCGCCAGCATGGTTCCAGTTGCTTCCTCAATCAACTCAGTGAGTCCCAGTATGATGCCATTTGCTCCCAGTGGCTCCCAGTCAGGCCCAGTATGGGGGATGCTGTGCAGGGTGTGCTCACTGTGACACTCAGTCACTCCCAGTATTAGTCCAGTCACTCCCAGTATGATCCAAAGATGAGCCCAGTGTGCTCCCAGTCTCTGCCAGAATAAACCAGTTTTGCTCCACATGGTTCCAGTTGCTCTCTTTCACCCTCACTTCCCTTCCAGTCACTCCCAGTATATCCCAGTGTACCCCAGTTCCCTCCAGCATCTTTCAAGTTCCTTCCAGTATGATCCCATTTGCTCCCAAGCACTCCCAGTCAGCCTCAGTGTAGTGGCACTCACTGCCAGTATGATCCTAGCCATCCTCAGCACCATCCCAGTTCATCCCAGTATATCCCATTTACCCCTGACATGGTCTCAATTGCCCCCCACAGGCTCCTACTCACTCCCAGTGTGATCTCAGCATGATCCCAGTATGATCACAGTATGGAGTCAGTACAAACTCAGTACAATCCCAGTATGATGCCAATAGGATGTCAATACAAAGCCAGTGAAGTCCCAGTCACTCCCAGTATGATCCCAGTATGATCCCAGTGTCCATCAGCGCGATCACAGTCTGCTCTGGCATAGCAATATGATCCCAGAATAATGTCAATACAAGCCCAGTACAGACCCATCATGATCCCAGTATGATCCCAGTATGATATCAGTACAAGCCCAGTACAGCCCCAGTCACTCCCAGTACGGTCCCAGTGCAGCCCAGTCCCTGGCAGTGCTGCCACTGCTGGGATCCCCCAGCCCTGTGTGCGTTCCCCCCTGGCGGATGTGCCGAGAGGAGCCCCAAGGGCTGGCAGTGGCCAGGCAGGGTCCCCAGCAAGGCCCAGTTTGGATGTGCAGCCCCCAGTTTGCCCAGTTTGCCTCGCCTTTGGCCCGGGCCGGGTTTCCCCCGCCCGCAGCGGCTGGGAGCAGCCGAGAGCCCCGCGCTGCCCATCCCGACCTGTCCCGGCTCCATCGCCGCTCCTGCCGTGGGCTGCGAGGGCTGCGGGAACGGGCACCGAGGGTGTGGCTGCTGCTGGGAGAGGAGGAGGAGGCAGGGAAGGGCAGGGATGAAGGGGGAGGAGGAGGTGGGGTTAGGGAGAAGGAGCAGGGGGAGGAGGGATGGAAGAGGAGTGATGAAGGCAGAGAGAGAGCAGCGATGGAAGGAGGAGCAGGAGGTGGGGTTAGCGAGGAGGAGGAGGAGAAGGGATGGAAGGGGAGGGATGGAAGAGGAGAAGGAGGTGGAGATAAGACAGAGGGGGAGGAGGAGAAGGGGGAATGAATGGAAGGGGAGGAGCGGGAGGAAGAGGAAGAGGAGGGACAAAGGCGGATGGAGGCTGAGCTGAGGGAGCCAGGCCGTCGATCCCTGCCTGAATTCGCAGCCCCCACCTGTGGGATCATCGCCCCCCCCATGGCTCCGGTGAGCAGGGAGGGGGAGCTGGGCCCGGATATCCCGGGGGGTCCCTGGGTTGGGTTTTTGGGGGGATTTTGGAGAATGAAGAAGTCCAAGCCTGAGCGGAAAAGGCCCCTTGGGGGGACATCGGGGGGTGGCGGTGGCGGCTGCCGGCAGAGGCAGCCTGGAGGAGCAGAGCCCTGTGTGCCCCAGGAGCCCAAAGTGGGGAGGCCAGAGAGGGGGGAGCGCCGCCATTGGCGGGAGCCTCAAGAGCCTGGAGAGGGGCAGGGGGGACTCCTTGGAGCCGCTGCAGCCCAGAGCAGAGAATGAGGGGAGAAGGGAGCCCGGGAGCCCAAAGAGCCCCGGCATCCCGAAATGGGGAGAGCGAAGCGGGGGGAGCTTTTGGCATTGCTGGGACTGCCAGCAGCCTGGGCAGGGCAGGCACCGAGGAGAAGGGGGACCCCCAATGCAAGGGTGACCCGAGCAGCTGGGACAGGGGGGAACCCCCGAACACCAGAGGGGAGGGACCAGGGCCGGGGAAGTCCTGGGAGGCTTTTTCAGGGCTGAATCTTGGTGTTTGGGAGGTTTTTCTGGAGCCCAGATGGCCGGTGACTTGTAGAGATGGACTCGGGCAGAGGGACCTTCAAACTCTGTGTGTTGGGGAAGATGAAACAGGAAAGCCTTATAAATATGATTGTCTGGCAAAAGATTTTGAGAATATAGAAAGTATAAGGAAGATTGAAATGAAAGCAAGCTTTGAGATACCTCAGTTAGTGAACAACTGGAAAACAATGGTGTGGCCCAACTGAAGGTAATCCCCTTTTGATGAAACAACTCCCTCTGCTTGCAGACAGATCCAAGGGTCAGAGCAGACCCCACTAGCTCAGCAGAAGGGGTTTAAAGAGGAGTTTTTAGGGTTTAAAATGTAACACAGTATGGTGATGTAGTGATTCTTACAGGCTGTATGTAAATGCTCTAGGATTTGTATCTTGTACTAGATTGGCTAGTGAGAAATAGAATATTCAACACAGAAGAAGATTTATTGTATTGTAACAGGAACCTTACTCTCTTACGCTCTTCCCCTCTTACTCTCTTACCCTCTCATCCTCTCTACCCCTCTCTTCTCTTGGGCCTGCTCCGAGCTGTGCCTGGCAGCTCCAAGCAGGGCCCTGCACCCGGGCCCTTTGCAATAAACCGCAAGTTCCAGGGCCTGGCTGCAGAGATCTCTCGTCTCCGTCCGTCCCGACCGTCCTACCCCCCGACGCTCCTACAAACGCGCTCATCCCTTGTTTTCCCCAAACCAGGATTTCCCATTGCCAACCCCTGGGAGGCTGCGAGGAAGAGGAAGATGCCCTGGGACACTGAGGCAGGTGAGGAGGAAGTCAGTGCCCCTTTCCCCTCTGTGCTGCTCCATCTCCCAGCCCAGCAGGGCCCCCGGCTGCAGCTCAGCCCTGGGGGGATCTCCTTGCCCTTGCCTGTGGCACGGAGGCAAATCCCATGCTGTCCTTGTCCTTCCTCCCCCAGAGCAGGAGCTGAGCATGGAGAGCAGGGAGGACAAATGCCCGCAGCAGAACCTGGTGGCAGAGGCCGTTTTGAGCGGCTCCACGGCGCAGGAAGCCAACGGGGAGGAAAAGCCCCGGAGCTGCCGCACGAGGAGGGGCTGCAAACGCAGATGGCGGGGATGTGAGGGGGAAAGAGCCAGCCTGGGCCGGGAAGGCGGCCGGAGATGGAGCCAGAGCTCGGAGCTGGTGCTCCATGAGCAGCTCCATGATGGGGAGAAGCCCCACACGTGCGTGGAGATTGGGAAGAGCTTCAGGTGGAACTGCGACCTGATCACGCACCAGAGGATCCACACTGGGGAGAGGCCCTACGAGTGTGGGGAGTGTGGGAAGAGCTTCAGGTGGAGCTCCACCCTGATCAGGCACCAGAGGACCCACACTGGAGAAAGGCCGTACAAGTGTTCTGAGTGTGGGATACGCTTCAGCCGGAGGTTCAGCTTGAACAGGCACCAGGTGACCCACACTGGGAAGAGGCCCTATGAGTGTGGGGAGTGTGGGAAGAGCTTCAGCCAGAGCTCTAGCCTGATCACGCACCAGAGGACCCACACTGGGGAGAAGCCCTACGAGTGTGGGGCATGTGGGAAGAGCTTCAGAGAGCGCTCCACCCTGATCACACACCAGAGGATCCACACTGGAGAAAGGCCGTACAAGTGTTCTGAGTGTGGGATGTGCTTCAGCCGGAGGTTCAGCCTGATCACGCACCAGAGGACCCACACTGGGGAGAGGCCCTATGAGTGTTCCAAGTGTGGGAAGAGGTTTCAGACCAGCTCCAGTCTCCTCCACCACTATTGGATTCACACAGAGGAGAGGCCCTTCCAATGCCCCGACTGTGGGAAGGGATTCAAGTACAACTCCACCCTTGTCACCCACCGGCGCATCCACACAGGGGAGAGGCCCTACGAGTGTGATAAATGCAGGAAGAGGTTTCAGACCAGCTCCTATCTCCTCCTGCACTATCGGATTCACACAGAGGAGAGGCCCTTCCAATGCCCTGAGTGTGGGAAGGGATTCAAGCACAACTCCACCCTTGTCAAGCACCGGCACATCCACACAGGGGAGAGGCCCTACAAGTGTCCCCAGTGTGGGAAGAGCTTCTCCAGGAGCTCTCACTTAACCCGACACCAACGGAGGCACCGGTAAGGGAAGCCCTGCGAGTGCCCCGAGTGCGGGCAGAGCTTCGTGCGCTGCTCCAGCTCCATCCCCCACTGGAGGAGGCACTTTGGGCACAGCCTAGGTGAACCACATTCCCTGTGATCCATGCTGGGAACACACCTGGCTGCTTCTACTTTTTGTTTCACATTAATTTTTTTATCCTCTCCCTTTCTCTGCAGTCCAGAAGCCAATGGGGATGGATCTGTCACCTGAAATCGCACTGAAAACAGCTCAATCATACTCCAAAAGGGCTCAAACCCACCTCAAAAAACTCAATCCCATGCCAAACTCACTCAATTCCACAGCCACCAGGCTGAGATGGGGTTGGGATGTGATTTAGAGTCATGGGATCTCAATTAGAGTTGTGGGATAAGGATTGTGTGGGGCTGGGTGTGTGGGATGTATTTGATAGCAAATAAAACTCTCAGATTTACTGATTTCTCTCCCGTTCATGTTCAGTCCATTGCAGTTCTGTTTGCAGAGTGCCGCCTTCTCAACTCATTGTCTTTGTGTCCCCTTTTCTCTCCTGCCTCTCTTTGCCTGTTTTGTTTCTCTCTCAGTGTCTCCCTTGACCCATGGACCACCAAAGACTCTCCCCTGATTGAATTGACTTTTCCCTGATTTAATTGCCCCCTCCCCTGATTTAATTGCCCCGTGCCCTGATTTGACTGCTCCCTTCCCTGATTTAATTGACCCTGCCTTGATTTAACTGACCCCTGCCCTGATTTACTTGACCCTGCATTGATTTAATTGACCCCTCTGTCCCCACAGACCCTCCCCTGATTATTTATTATTTTATTTCCCAATTATTATTTTAATTCCCAGTTCCAGGAGCTGAAGTCCTGAAGGCTGGCAGGGAAATGTCTCTGTAGGATTTTGCTCCATTTGCCTTCAAGGGTGGGAACATCTTTTCCTGGCTGGGAACTGGAATTCCAGACTTTTGGAATGTGTGTAGGGCAATATGGACTAGGATCAAATATGGACTGGGATCAAATAGGGGTTGGGATCAAATATGGAGTAGGATCAAACAGGGACTGGGATCAGATAGGGACTGGAATCCTACAGAGTGGGATCAAATACAGACTGGGATCAACTATTCACTGGGATCAAATATGGACTGGGATCAGATAGGAACTCAGATCAAACATTGCCTGGGATCATCTATTGACTGGCATCAAATATGGACTGGGATCAACTATTGACTGGGATTGTACAGACTGGGATAAACTGGACTGAGATTATTTAGACTAGGATCAAATATGGACTGGGATCAAATATGGACTGGGATCCTATGGATTGGGACCATACAGACTGGGATAAACTGGGCTGGGATCAAATATGGGCTGGGATCAAATAGGGACTAGGATCAAATATGGACTAGGATCAAATGGATTGGGATCAAATATGGACTGGAATCAAATGTGGACTGGGATGAAATATGGACTGGGATCAAATATGGACTAAATTCAACTATGGACTGGGTTAAACTGGACTGGGATCAAATCAGGACTGGGATCAACTTTGGACTGGGATCAAATATGGACTTGGATCAAATATGGACTAAGATCAACAATGGACTGGGATTAAATACGGACTGGGGGCAAATAGGGACTGGGATCAAATATGGACTGGGATCAAATATTGACTGGGATTGTACAGACTGGGATAAACTGGACTGAGATTATTTAGACTGGGATCAAATATGGACTGGGATCCTATGGATTGGGACCATACAGACTGGGATAAACTGGACTGGGATCAACTATGGACTGGGATCAAATATGGACTGGTATTATTTGGACTGGGATCAAATATGGAACTAGGATCAAATATAGACTGGGATTACCTATGGATTGGGATCAAATATGGAATGGGATTAAATATGGATTGGTATCAAATATAGACTGGGATCAAATGGACTGGAATCAAATGTGGACTGAGATAATCCTGACTGGGATAAAGTGGACAGAGATTATGTAGACCAGGATCAAATATGGACTGGGATCAAATAGGGACCTGGATCAAATATGGACTGGGATCAAATAGGGACCTGGATTAAATATGGACTGGGATCAAATAGGGAGTGGGATCAAATATGGACTGGGACCATCCGGACCAGGACGGCTGAACCAGTTCTCCCAGTTGTCCCTAGCATAGACCTAGGCACTCCCAGTATGATCCCAGTCTCTCCCAGCAGGGCCCCAGTCACTCCCACTTGCCCCCAGCGTGTTCCCAGTTCCCCCAGCACATTTCCAGTCGCTCCCAGTCTGGTCCCAGTCCCACAGCCTTGTGGTCTCAGACCCTCCCAGTATATCCCAGTTGCGCTGAACATTCTGGCAGTTGTTGCCAGGCACTCCCAGTCACCTCAGTGTTGTTCATGTGCCGCCAGCTGTCTCCCAGTTGTTCCCAGTTCCTCTAATTAAGTCCCCAGTTGGTTCCCAGCATGGGCCTGGTAGCTCCCAGTAACCCCCAGTCAGGGTCCAATCACACCCACTCTAATCCCAGTATGATTGTAGCCACTCCCAGTATGATCCCAGTCACTTGCAGTCTAATCCCAGTTGCTCCCAGATGCTCCCAGTACAATTCCAGTGCCTCCAGTGTGATCCCAGTTGCTCCCTGTCAATGCCAGCATGACCCCAGTAGCCTCCAGTATGATCCCAGTGACTCCCTGTCTCTCCCAGTTTATCCCAGTTGCTTCCAGCTTCTTCCAGTTTCTTTCAGCACCACTCCAGTTACTCCCAGTCAATCCCAGCATGATTCCAGTCACCCTCAGAGTGATCTCAGTTGCTCCCAGAATGGGCCCAGCTGTTCCCAGTCTGCTTCCATCACTCCACTGTGGTTACAAACACTCCCAGTATGGTCCCAGTTTGAAGGGGTCCAGCTGGAGAAAGATTGTCCTTCTTGGACGTCCCGGCTGGCTATCCAGCACCACTAGCAGTAACAAGGCACTATCCCGATCTCCATGTTTCGGGACAGCACCTAAGGCAAACACTCTGTGCTATGACAGCAGCGCTACCTTGTGGTAGGACGTGGCTTGGCTTATGGCTACAGTCAGCAGAACAAGAAGAGAGCGCTCTCCAGCTATGGTGAATGCAGGTTCATTGGGTCCCAGAGGAAACCGACAACCAAAGACACAGAGGGAGGGGTTGCAACAGCTTATAAGGAGGGAGGGACAGAGGGGAGGAGTCATTCCTTGGACGAATAGGGTTTCAGAGGGGAGTGGGATACAAAAGATTGACTTAGGGAGAACACCAATGGGGATAGCTTAAGGGTGGGGCCCCGGCCCCTGAGCCAATCACTTGACGCTCTAGCTGGAAGTTTCTAGAGAGTTCCAGAGAGAAGGGTGGGAGCACTGAGTGAGAGACAGGGCACCGGGGAGGGATTTGAGAAAGAAACATTAATCTCCAAGGCAACTGGGGAGGAGTTGGGATAACTGGCAGCGCAAGGGAGGGAGGGGAGAACCAGGGCAGAACCATTACATGATAGGGGGGAACAGAACAGTCCAACTTATACAGACACAACACAACACCTCATGACCTCTACAGAATTCAAATTATGGGAATTAGCATGGAAACAACTGCTAAAAGAAGCTCTCCCAGGCTTGCATGCTAATCCAAACACAGCAAAAGATACCAATGGCATGCCAATTACCATTGAGCATCTCTCCCGGTGAGGGCCAATGGTCCTTACCCTCAATCCAAAGTACCGTAATTCCTTTAGAAACACTTGAGAGAGTCAAAGAAGCAGCTGAAAAGGCATTCTTTTCCATTCAGCCTGAAGGGCCATTTGAGCCTTATTGTAAGATCAAGCAGCTACCATCAGACCCTTTTTTGAAATTTGTAGAAAGGCTAACTAGAGCCATTGAAATCCAAGTTAAAAAAGAGAATGCAAGGGAAGAGGTTTTAGAGGAAATGGCATTTACAAATGCAAATGAACAGTGTCGAGCAGCAATTTTATGCTTACCTCTAGACCCCCCCTACACTAAAAGATATGCTTCTAGTCTGTAACAGGAAAGTGCCTCTGATGAGTGTGGCTGAAGACACCAGACCAAGGCTGCTGCCAAGACCACCACAGCGTGTCGCCATTGCCAGCCCTGTGCCCATTCCCTCAGCACAGCAGCACCCTGGGCAGCAGCAAAGACCAGCAATGGTTGGCCCCACAAAGCCATGCCTGCTTTGCAATAACCTTGGGCATTGGAGTAACCAGTGCCCCCTGAAAAGGCAATTTGATGAATTTAGAAATAGCAGGGGAGGAGGACTACAAGCACTCCCAGGGGGTCAATAACAACAAAAAAACTGAAAGGGGAGCGCCGGCCTGCCAGGCGTGCTGACACAAAAAGGGCAGGCCAAGAGAATAAGGGAAGCAAAAAAGACAAAGCGCGCAGTAATATTACTATTTCTGCAATTGAAGCAGATGCTTTAAAGACTACGTCTGCTGGTCCACTGTTGAAAGTGCAACAAAATAACCTTTGTTATGATTTAGGTGAGCCTATGTTAACCACGTCTTCTGTCAATGAGCCTTACAGGTTGCAGCTGACAGAATCACTCCACCTGAAAGACACTGACTGGCATTTTGTCTCCGTCAACCCAGAACAGAAGGGTACTTGGCACCGTATTCGCTGTAAGTACATCATCATTGGGGACACCAAACACACACGAGATTGAAATTGCTCCAGATGCTGAGCAATTTGTTCTTGGGCTGCACTGTTTCCACCCACCCCTGTTTCTTCCCAAAGGTCAAATTGTTGCACAAGCTATCCCTGTGCCGTTTTTGCCTGAAGGTACCGAAAAACAAGGACCCACAGTCGCCCGGGTCCAAGTTATTGGAAGAGATAAACCCAAATTATGGTGTAATGTCAGTGGGGGTGGGGAGTCAAAATGCATTGAGATGCTTGTAGACACGGGTGCAGACTGCACAGTGATCCCAGCACAAAACTGGCCTGCACATTGGCCTTTGCAAAACGTTGCTGGTCACGTTCAAGGTGTAGGAGGCCTGCAATTGGCGAGACAATCCAAAAGCATCATCCAAATGGAGGGAGCAAACGGACAATTGGCAAATATCCGTCCATTTGTGTTAGATTATTCGGAACCATTGTTAGGGAGAGATTTAATGGCCCAGTGAGGTGTCACAATTGATATTCCAGACTCCCCACAGGATTTTTGTACAGTGGTCATTGAACAGTGCCGCACCCAGAAACAGAATTGGAAGACAGACAAACCAGTTGAGGTGAAACAGTGGCCGCTCAGTAAACAAAAAATAAAGGCACTTGAGGGGATAGTGGAAGAGCAACTGAAAAAGGGTCACATTGTGGAGACCACGTCCCTGTGGATCTCTCCAGTGTTTGTCATCCAGAAGGCTGACAAAAAGAGATGGCGGCTCCTCCACGACCTCCGACAAATTAATAATGTCATTGAAGATATGGGCTCTCCCCAACCTGATATGCCATCCCCAGCGATGCTTCCCCAGGATTGGAAATTAGCTGTTATTGATATAAAAGATTGTTTTTTTCATATTCCCCTCTACCCTGACGATGCACCGCGTTTTGCATTCTCGGTCCCCACCATCAACATGGAAGCCCCTATGAAAAGGTACCATTCGACAGTTCTCCCTCAGGGCCTGAAGGTTTCCCCAGCGATCTGCCAGTGGTGTGTCTCTTCCCTGCTTTCCCCAGTGCATGCAACTGCAGAAAAGGCCATCATCTATCATTATATGGATGATATCCTTGTGTGTGCCCCCAGTGATGATTTACTCACCCACGCGCTTGACCTAACGATCGATGCATTGATTGTTGCAGGGTTTGAGCTCCAGGAAAAGAAAATTCAAAAGATGCCACCTTGGAAGTATTTGGGCTTAGAAAATGGAAATAGGACCATTGTTCCTCAAAAATTAGAAATCAATACAAACATCAAGACCCTAGTGGATGTCCACAAGTTGTGTGGGTCTTTGAATTGGGTAAGGCCATGGCTCGGTCTGACTAAAGAAGACCTTGCCCCTCTTTTCAATTTATTGAAAGGGGGAGAGGACCCCGGTGCTCCTAGGTCTATTACCCCAGAGGCACGGAAAGCTCTAGAAAAGGTTCAGATTGCCATGTCCACAAGACAGGCCCACTGATGCCGGCCTGACCTGTCATTCAAATTTATCATCTTAGGTAAGTCGCCACACCTCCATGGAATCATTTTCCACTGGGAGGAAAAACAAACATCTAAGGGAAAGGAAACACCTAAAAAGGGCCAGGACCAGAGGGACCCGCTCTTGATCATAGAATGACCTAAGTCACAAAAGGTCCAAGAGAATGACAAAGCCCCAAGAGCTGGTAGCAGAACTGATCCAGAAAGCAAGGACCCGGATCAGGGAGTTAGCAGGATGTGACTTTGAGTGCATTCACATTCAAATTGAGTTAAAATTGGGCCCAAATACTATGCAAATATTGGAACAATTGCTTCAAGAAAATGAAGTGTTGCAGTTTGCTCTAGATTCCCACTCAGGACAAATTTCTGTCCACCGGCCTGCCCACAAAATGTTCAAACAAGATGTCCAATTTACTCTGAAATTTAGAAGTGCTCAAAGTAGGAGACCTTTAAAAAAGGCTCTGACTGTCTTTACAGATGCGTCCAGGAGGTCCCACAAGTCTGTTATGACTTGGAAAGATCCTCAAACCCAGCAGTGGGAGATGGACATTGCTGAGGTGGAAGGTTCACCTCAGGTTGCTGAATTGGCTGCTGTTGTTAGGGCTTTTGAAAGGTTCTCAGAACCATTCAATCTGATAACAGATTCTGCATATGTGGCAGGAGTAGTGTCCAGGGCAGATCAAGCAATACTGCAAGAAGTGTCTAACATGGCACTTTTCGAATTGCTCTCAAAACTTGTAAAGTTAGTCACTCACCGGGAGCAACCATGTTATGTGATGCACGTCAGGTCACACACCGACTTGCCAGGGTTTATCGCTGAAGGCAACAGAAGGGCAGATGCCCTTGCTGCACCTGCAGTGATGGCCACGCTTCCAAATGTTTTTGAATACGCAAAAATCAGCCACCAGCTTTTCCACCAAAATGCACCTGGCCTGGTTCGTCAGTTTCACATCACTCGAGAACAGGCCAAAGTGATTGTGGCCACATGCCCAAATTGCCAACAACATGCACTCCCTACAATGAGTGCAGGAGCAAACCCTAGGGGGTTGAACAGTTGTGAACTGTGGCAAACAGATGTCACACACATACAGTCATTTGGATGGCAGAAATACGTTCACGTTAGTGCAGATACCTTTTCTGGAGCGGTCTATGCCTCTGCCCACACAGGAGAGTCATCTAATGATGCCATTAAGCACCTCTTACAGGCTTTTTCTTTCATGGGCATCCCCAAGGAATTGAAAACTGATAATGGGCCTGCCTACAAATCCAAGGAATTTGGGAGCTTCCTGCAGCAATGGGGAGTAGAGCACAAAACTGGCATCCCCTACTCCCCTACAGGTCAAGCCATAGCAGAAAGGACTCACTGCAATATTAAAAGAGTTCTGGACCAGCAACAACAGGTTCTGAAGGTAGAACCCCCCCACATCCAGTTGTCCAGGGTGCTGTTCACAATCAATTTTCTGAATTGTTCCTTTGGCAGCCTGAACCCGCCCATCCTATGCTGTTGTGTCCTGTTTTTGGTTTGCCCCAGTTCCTCCCCGTTCATCTGTCAATGGTCCTGCCCGGAATTCCCCTATCCCAGATTGTTGTCTGCCAATCTCCTAGTTCCTCCCCCGTTCCTATGGTTTCGAAAATGTATCCTTGCTTTCTCCGCCCCAGGCCCCCTTTCCATCACCCGGCTTCCCTTCCCCTTCTTCTAGATTCTTCTTCCTAGAACGTCGGATAATTGGTCAAGAGTCAAGGGCCCCTCCCCAGAGCTTGCTTCATTTGATGATTTTGCTTGCCATTCAGAAATGTATCTATTTCTTCTGTACTTCGATTGGTTTGCTGTAAGTCTCCACCTGTACCCACCCCCTGCATTTATAAGTAAGAGGCGTCCACCTTTTCTTGTCTCCGAGGCTCCCCTCCTCACCCGTTCGCACCCGTTCCTGTCCTGCCCGGTTGGGCTCAATAAACCCGACCTTGTTCCAACTGACCTCGGAGTCCTCCCTTCTTTTCTCCGTGCACTTCGCCGTTGTGCCCGTGGAGCGGCCAAGACCCACGAAGGCGCAGACCGGACTTCGAGCCTGGCAGGCGCCCCTCCACTGCGAGCTAGGCTGGTGAGCTAGTGAGCCAGGCACTCTTTCAACACCCAGAGACCAGCGCAGCCGCACTATGCCACTTTGGGGGGAGCAGTCAGATGTCAGTGAAAGAAAAGCCTCCAGTCTTAATAAAGGACCCGAGACTTGGAAGACAGTGGGACCTTACAAATTGGTTACATGGGGACGTGGATACACCTGCGTGTCCACCCCCTCTGGGTTAAAATGGGTTCCTTCCAAATGGGTAAGGCCCTATGCTCCCAAGGTCTCAGAGAAATCGACAGAAGCGCCCCAGCGCCAATGCTGCCTGGAGAAGGAAACGCCGCACGCATTCTCTGGAGGAAATTCCATTTAAGCCTCCTATCTGGAATAGTTTGTAATATGTTTGTCTTAAGTTCCTTGTACCAGTTTAGATCCCACGGTTTGTGTGTAGTCTTGAGGCACCATGAGACCAAGCCTGCTCCTCGTCCTACTCATGATCATCCCACCAGCGATCTCCTGGATAGTCCCTCAGCCCAAAGCACGTATGGACCACCTTGGCAAAAGACGTCAGACATCAAGAGAGAAACTGACAACTGCCTGAGTGGACTGTTCAAAGGCTGGGGACTCTCGGGCTGGTTGGGATCTATTCTGAAAACTGTGTTTTTAGTACTGTTTATATTAGTTATCGTTGTTGTAGTTGTTAGCATTGTTTTTGGACTAGTCAAACTCATGGTTCTCAAGTTGATTTCAAGCTCATCTCCCCCTCCTGAAGTTTACCATTTGGAAGCCCTTAGAGCTCCAATGAATGACATGGAACCCTCAGTGGAAAGCACTGAACCTCCTGTAGAGGAGGAACGGATTTACCAACCATGGTTTTACAAGCACTCTGCACCACAAACCCAGTCCTCTTTTTAAACAAAACTAGGGGGAGATGTTGCAGTGTGATGCCATTTCCCAACCACCCAGGTGTGCCAACCTCTCCTTGCCCCTCCCCCTGTCCCTGGTCTTAAAAGGAGACGGGACCATGCGGTCTGCATTCTGTTGGGAGCTGTTACAAGATTCAGAGGTCTGTCATCCTGGAATAAAATTCTGGATTAAAATTCTACGACAGAATCCTCTCCTTTTTCTCTTCACCGTCACCTGAACCTTTTCCAGCAGAGGTAAACTGAGTTCCTACTATGCCTGGATTTGTTCCGAGTGCCCAGCTGCAGCACCCAGCTGGCCAAAGCTGTCTCTGAGGTGAAACACCACAGCTGCAGCCTTTGGCCCAGCAGCAAGGGTCAGATGAGCCCAGGCACGTTCCACCCGATAATATTGGGTTTAATATTCCATAATTTCCCTTGGCTTCTTCTTCCCAGCCCGTTTCCATTGCTGCAGTTGCCAGGAAGATCGGGTTCTTGTTTCCAGAAATGCCTCATTTGCCCATTTTTCACTGGCCTTGCCTGTTTCTGAAGAGATTTTCTGAAAGGTTTTCTGACTGCTTTTGTCCCAAGTGCTGCACGGCCTCCTCCCCTGGATAACCCTGGCAGTTGTGTTGCCTTGTTCTGGAGGGAATGGTGGAACTGATGAGCTCAGAAGCTGAACCAGCTGGGGCCAAGTGTTGTGGTTCCATATTGATCTGGGCTGTTGCTAAACTGCATTTTTCACCTGCTTGCCACTAAGGCCTCTCCTTTCTCGCAGGTGTCTCCTTCCCCTTTAGACTGTGCAGATTCCAAGGGCTGTGCAGCCTGGCAGGAATGTCTCTCCATCTGATTCTGTCCTCACTGACAAGTGACCTGGAAACAAAACACTCCAGGCTTTTCCATGGGGGAATTGAGCTCTGCACTTTCATCTCCATGCCATTGTTTTCCTCTTCCAGCTTCCTTGTTGATGGAGATCTCTGGCTGGTGATGGAATACATGGATGGAGGAACTTTGCGGGACCTTGTCAGACAGACACGCATGGCTGAAGGAGAGATGGCAGCTGTCAGTCGGGAGGTGAGGGATCCTGCTTGTCACTCCCATGGCTGGGACACAATGGTCCTTCCAAACAGAGCGTGAGAACAGGAGTGGCTCCATGCTCAGGGGTTTGTTTCTGTGTTGTTTCCATGAGCTGGAGAAGAAAGAGCCTCTGCAGTGAACGGCCTGCCAGCATCACTGCACTTCTACTCTGCTCTTGTTCTCTCTCCTGCTGTTGTGGTACTCTCTGTGTGCTTTGGATTTGATTTGCTGTTCTCAGCTTTGCCTTGAGCTGTTTGTCTGGAGCTTGTGTGCACTGCACTCCTGGCCTGTCACAGCAAAGCTGCTGCTGGCAGAATTCTGAGCTGTCCTTTCTGGTGTGATATATTCCGGCCATTGGTTTTTGCCCTTGTGTTTCTTGTTCTCTCTCAGTGTCTGCAGGGCCTGGATTTCCTCCATTCCAACCGGGTGATCCACAGGGATCTGAAGAGCTCCAACATCCTCCTGGGCATGGACGGCTCTGTCAGGCTGGGTGGGTGTTCCTGGCCAGGCACGGCGCTCCCGGGCTGCGGGGCTGGGGCTGCTTCCCAGGGAGGGCCAGAGCCCCACAAGGGCTGCTGGGGGCACTGCCCGGCCCCTGCTGCCAGCTGAGAGCGGCTGCCCCTGCAGAGAGCTCAGGAGAGGAGCAGGGGGCCAGCAGTGCCTTTGCTCTGGCCATGGCCCTTCCAGAGGGGCAGCAGTGGGAATCTAAAGCTCCAAGGGAATCAGTAAAAGCCACTGCAGGAAAGCTGAGGGTTTCTTGAAGGGCCCAGTTCCATCTTTCCTTGGCTACAGCCCTGAGGACTTTTCCAGCTGACTTCACTACTGCACTCTCAGACTGAGCGTGGGGAATCTCTGTGCTTGGTTTCCTCATTGCAGCTGCCTTTGACAGGGTTTGTTTCTGTCCTCAGCTGATTTTGGCCTCTGCACTCAGCTCAGCCCTGAGCAGGACCAGCGCAGCTCCATGGTGGGCACTGCTCACTGGATGGCCCCAGAAGTTGTGACCAGATCTCCTTATGGCCCCAAGGTGGACATCTGGTCCTTCGGCATTGTGACCATTGAGATGGTGGAAGGAGAACCTCCTTACTTCAGGGAAACGGCGGCCATGGTAAGAGGCAAATTCTCCAGTGGCTGCAGAGGCTGCGAGCACAGGGGGACCCTGCACTGGGAGCAGCAGCTGGAGGTTTCTGCACATGGGAAGGGAATTCCCAGAGGACTCCAGCCTCAACACAGACGAATATTCCGCAATCTCCAGCAACAATTTGCTCTGAGATTTATGTTGTTGCAGCTCTTCTGGCTGTGAGGATGACCTGCAAATGTGAAGCAAATGCATCAGCTCTAATGTTACCTTGGAAGAAAACCCCACACCAACCCCACATTCCTCCCCCAAACCCAACAAGTTTTCTGCAGGAGTTTCTAAAAGAGGTTTTGCAAGATGATCTCCCCCTGATTCTTCTCACTGGGAAACTTGTTGAAAACATGAAGATGATTGTTTAACATCCCCATAGTCCAACACATTACTTTCCTAGTCCAAGCTACTTTCTCCGTGTCACCAAGCCTGAGCTTTCAGCATCACAAACCTCCTGTTTCTTGCCTGGCAGTTTCTGGGATGGGGCATCAGGAATGCATTTACTTGAGTGTCAGTGGCACTGCAGAGATGCACTTGATGGAAGAATCCTCTGAAATAACACAGGCAGACCACACTGACTCTGGAAAATGGCCTGTAAAGCTGGTGTCCATATTTGGAGAAGCAAAATGGGCTATTTCTGATGGAGGTTCCTACTAACAAAGCAGCCAATGAAACTGGCTCTCAAGGCGAGATCATTTGGATGTTGCAGTGGCTGTGGCAGCCCCAGGGTTTGGGTTTTTTGCTTGGCATAGCAAAATGAGCTCTGAGCAGCATCTCTGGCAGGGAGGAAAGTGGCCCTGGAGCTGGGGCTGAGGCCCTGGGGTGGATGTGAGCCCGTGTGGGTGTGAAGGAAGCTGGCAGAGCGCTGAGTTTGCTTTCCCTGCAGGCTCGCGCTCTGATCCGGCAGAATGGGACCCCGCAGCTGCAGGAGCCCCGGCGCCTGTCGGCTCTGCTGCGGGACTTCCTCGAGTGCAGCCTGGAGCCGGACGAGGAGCGGCGCTGGGCTGCCCAGGAGCTGCTGCAGGTGAGAGCCAAGGGCTGCAGGGGAAGCAGCAGCGCCAGGGAGGGGTTTTCTTGTGGGGCCCCCTCCGATAGTCTCCAGTCTCGCTGCGTTCCACGCGCAGAGCGAGCAGAATCCTCGCCCGCTGTGGCCTGGCAGGCTCCTTTCGAGCTCATCTGGACCTGGTGCCCCACAGCGAGCAGGGACATCTTCAAGCAGTTCAGGGGGCTCAGAGCCCTGCCTCACCTGAGCTTGGATGTTTCCAGGCAGGAGGCACCTCCCACATCTCTGGGCACCTCCTGTCAGTGTTTCCCCACTCTCCTGGTTAAAAAATTCTTCCTTAGATCTAATCTGAGCCTGCTTCCCTCGATTTTCAAACCATTTCCCTTTGTCCTGTTGCAACAGAGCCTGTGAGGAACTTGACTCTGGAAGGTAACAGTTCATTTCTTTCCTTTTTATCCTTTGGGCAGCACCCATTTTTATCATCAGCCAAGCCTCTCTCCAGCCTGGCCCCTCTGATCACTGCAGCAAAGAAACTGAGGGAGCAGCGGAGGAGATGAAGCACTTGAGGACAGCTTTCAGTTACAGTAGTTAGGACAACTAGTTAGTTATGGTAGTTAGCACAGGTAGTTAGTTATGGTAGTTAGCACTGGCAGTTAGTTATGGTAGTTAGGACAGCCTGTTTGTTATGAAAGTTTTATGAATAAAAACTCTCTCAAACCTCAACTCCCCTGACGTGTCCCTTCCCTCTCCCGCTGTGACTCAGCTGCCCGGAGCAATGTGAGGGGAGGGCGGGCCCAGCCTGGCCCAGAGCTGAGCCCCAGCAGAGCCCTGGCAGAGCCCAGAGCAGCCTCGGCACCTGCAGAGTCAGCCTGGAAGGAGGCGCTTGGAGCCTTCTCGGCTGCACCCGGCTCTTGGTTACAAACTGTGTGTGCTGGAAAATGCCACCGGCTCTTCAGGAGGGCAGAAGGGGCCCGGGGAAGGCCCAGGTGCTCCATGCAAGGGAAAAACCTGCCCTGAGTTTGTTATAAATAACTAGGTAGTGCTGGCTTTTGCTATTATGTATTGACTTCTGCAAAATATTCTTAATCACAACAATTTTGATAGAGTACAGTTTGTAATCACTTTTCACTGCTTTTGCTACAGTATAATTTGTCAGCTTTTTGTGGTCAATGCCTGGTCCCTGTGTAGCTCATATCCTGAGAACATCATTTATGGATGATATTTGAGTTTGTGGACAGTGTGAAAAACATACATTATAGTTTTGGCTTTTGCAAAATATTAAAGTAGATGCCATGTGTTGTGCATTAGAATGTTAACTTTTGCAGAAGTAGCTGTAGTTGTGAAATAATAACTAATGCTTTTATTTTTTAACTAACTGACAATAACAACTCAGAGATATTTGTGAAAGAGCTAATGTTCATTTAAAGTACTTGTGGAAATAGCTAAAAGCGTCTGCATGGTCAGATAACATTCAAGGAAGGGATGTGATGAGGCCCCTGCCACTGACCCTTCCACTGTCAATAACTGTCACCTGCTGAAACCACAGACCAGGGGCCCTTGTGAGGCAGTGACACACAAGCCTCAAAACAGCAATCCACGATTCCTGCACGTGCTCTAAAAAGGCGAGTTGGGGGTCAAACCAACCTAAAGAATTCCTGGAACAAGTAAACGAGTTCAAAGAAATGTTTGAATATGTACAATCATTATGAGTATGTATTTGAACAATACAATGGAGAAACTAGACAAGAAGAGTTGCTGTGAGTAACCGGTGTGCCTCTGGCCATTGCCAACACCCAGCGCTGTTACTGATTTGTCCCTTATTATTCCTTATTAAACTTTCAAAAATTCTAAAGAGTGGGGCTCATTTCTCACAAAACCCAAGGTGCTCACTCCTTGTTCTTCCCCCAAAGCCAGGATTTGTCAATCCCAAAATTTGCCTGGACGGAGGAGAAGGAGGCTGCGAGGAAAAGGAAGATGCGCTGGTGTGGAGGCCCATGGGAGTCTCAATCTCCCACCCGTGGAGGACTGGTCCCCAATAAGAAGAATAGATTTCAAGGTTATGGTGAGAAGCTTGCTTCTCCCACAGATCTTTGCAGGCACATGCTGATTTATGGAAAGTTATGTTATCCCATTGGCCTGTTGGCCTAATTACCCTAGTTCACCCCCTGTTACCCATCTCTGGTTAGTCCCTAGAATGTTCTCCCTCTCTGTCCCTCCATTGGCCCCAGTTTACTGCATTCCTCTGCCCCTGTTTCCCTATTAGCTGTCCCGACCCTTAACCCCTCCTTTGCCCCATTTCCCCCATATCCATTGGACCCTGACCCTCAGCTCCACCCTCACTACCCCATCTAAAAACCCCCTGTGCCCTCAGCTTGCACCCTGTCTTTGTGCCTGGACCCTGTTCAGCTCTGTCCCCTGTTCCTGTACCAATAAACCCAGTTTGCTGAGATCATACCCAGACCCATGCTGCCGACTTTGTCAGCTTTATAAAGCAGCCGTGAGCTCCGGGCTCCTGAGTGCCGGACGCTCCAAGGGCCTCGGCAGCGCCAGAATGCTCCAGACTGGGACAGCCAGGCAGGGCAGGAGGAATCACTGCCCCTTTCCCCTCCCTGCTGCTCCATCTCCCAGCCCAGCATCGCTGCAGGACAGCCTCACTGCCAACGCCATCCTGCCAGGGATGGACTGGGGGGATCTCCTTCCCCTTCCCTCTGGCATGGAGGCAAATCCCATCTTCTCCTTGTCCACCCTCCTTCTTCTCCTCATTCTGTCCTTCATCCATCCATGTTCCTTTCCCATCTCCTTCCTCACTTGTTCCTTCTTGTTCCTTCCTCTGCTCCTGCCTTTTCCTTTTCCCTTCTCCCTGTCTCTTCCTCTCCTTGTCCTTCCTCCCCCAGGCACTGAGCTGCAGACAGAGACCAGGGAGAACAAATCCCTGCCACAGAACCTCGTGGAAGAGGCCATTTGGAACGGCTCCACGGCGCAGGAATCCAACGGGGAGGAAAAGCCCCAGAGATCCCACACGAGGAGGGGCTGCAAACCCAGCCTGGAGAGCTGTGAGGAGGTAAAAGCCTCCCTGTGCCGGGAAGGGTGTGGGGAATCTGATAAGAGCTTCAGGCAGAGCTCAGCCTATTCCTGGCGCCTCCAGAAACGGCGCTGCCAGATGCAGAGATCCCCCTGCAGATCCATGGGGATGCAGAGATCCCCCTGCAGATCCATGGGGATGCAGAGATCCCCCTGCAGCCCCCGGAGCAGCCACGCTGGAGCACGGGGATGCCTGAGAGGAGGCTGTGCCCCCGTGGCCAGAGGGGCCCCGCTGGAGCAGCCTGTCCTGGCAGGACTGACCCCGGGGCACAGTGACCCACGCTGCAGCACTTGGAGGGGGGCTGTGCCCCGTGGGATGGACTCAGCTTGGAGAAGTTCCTGGAGAAGTCTCCGGTGGGAGAGAGCCCAGGGTGCAGCAGGGGAACGACTCCTGTCCCCGAGCAGAGGGAGAAGCCCTGGGGCATGAAGTGAGCACGGCCCCATTCCCTGTCTCCGGCACTGCCGGGGTAGGAGGTGCAGCTGGAAGGAGGGAGGCGTGGGGGAAGGCTGGATTTAAGGCTCTTCACTTACTTCTCATTATCCTGCTCTGAGGTTTTGGGGTTTTCTGTCAGAAATCTCTCTCTTCCCCCACTCATCCACAGGGATTTGGGGCAGTTTTCCCTTTTTGGGGGAAATCAAAGCGATGCACTGATGCTCCTAATTAGAGGTAGGAGAAGTGAGGCTCCAGGGCTTCCCGCTGAGCCAGAGCCACCGGAGCCGCAGTGCCGGGAAAGCCGTGGCGGGAGGTGCGGAGAAGTTTGTTTGTGTTTTCAGCTCAATCCCCCTCGGGCCCGGGCCCGTTCCAGGGCTGTTCCTCATCTCCGGCTCTGCCCTCACGCAGCCCCGGGGGCCCCTGAGAGCGCGGGGCGAGCCTGTGCCGTGTGCAGAGCCCGCCCCTGGCTGCGATTGGCCGACGGTGCCGTCAGTCGTGGTTCTGGCGCGCTGATTGGTGGGATCGGGGCGGGGCAGGGCCCCGGTGGCGGCCTGAGGGCGGCCGTGGCTCGGCAGCGGCGCCATTGGCGGAGCGTGTGTGCGGGCCCGGGATCGGCGGCAGCGGCCGGAGCGCGGTGAGGCGGCGGCGGAGCTGGGAGGCGGCCGGAGCGCAGGTGGGAGCCGCGCTGGGTTGTGCGGGGGCTCGGGGCTCGCTGCGGGCCTCGGGGGCGGCAGGGGGCTCAGGCGGGTTCGTTGTGCCGTGTCCGGCGCGTGTTGCCGCTGGCGTGAGGGCGCTGCGGGAGCAGCTGCCCGCGGTCTCCTTGCGGCCGCTGCCTCGGCAGGAGCCGCTGCCGGAGCAGCGCTGGCTCGGCCCGGTTGCTGTGGCTGGGACAGAGGCGGCTGCCCCGTGCCCGGGGCTGTGCGGGGAAATTGACGTGGCCGGAGGTTTCTGTGCCCCGAGGAGACAGAGGAGTCCTGTACAAGTGACTTTATTGCTGAGCAGAGGGAGAGGCCGTGGGGCATTTGCTGTGCGCTCTCTGCCATTGTTGTAGTTCGCAGCCTCCTTTTTATCCTCATTTTCCCGGCCGATTCTCTCTCTCTCCCTTTGCCCACTGGCTGAGGTACTTGGAAGGTTCAGACTTCCACATCTGCCCACTGCATGTCCTCGTTAATGTGCATTCCCACTTTTGTAGAACAGCCGATATTCACGGCTCTGTTAAGTCTTTGGTCTTCTGGAAGTTCAGGAATTTAGCGGGACTTTCTGCGATCAGCAGTCCATGTTAATTAGTAACAATTATTGAAGCTGGTGGTTTCGCCCATTACTTCCTGATCTACGAGTCCCTGGCCCCTCGCTCAGCTGCTGAATGAGCTGCACTCTCAAGGTGCGGAGCATGGTAAAAAGGTGAGAGTTGCTGTAGCACCTGAGAGGAGAAACAGCCTTCGTTTAACCCATGGACTGCCAGGGAGCCACAAAACCGTGTCCCATTCCCATCCTTTTCACGTTTGGACCAATACATGAGCTGCTTTTTTGTTTCCTTTGTTTGTTTTTTCACCACTTTTCCTTTGTCATCTATTTGCCAACAGCAGTTTGAGTCATTGAATTTTCCACAAACTCCTCTTTTTTCGGCTAAAAGGTAATCTGATCCCATCCCATGGTGAAATGTTGTGTTCCTCATTTCAGTGGATTGCTCAGCAGGAAGGTCAGGAGCTGGAGCTGTCTGGTTGGTTATTCCGAGGGCAGCTTGTAATCTAATGATGCCATTGAAATGAGAAATGGTTTCTGTGGCTCCTGATATGAATTGGTTTGGGTTCCGAGGGGCTGGTGCACGGTGTTGTAGGATTTGTTCTGGTGGCCGTTCATCTTTTCCCCATTTTGGGCGCTCCTTTCAGCCAAGACTACATCAGTTACTTTGATTCTGAACTGATTTCCCTGAACTTGTGATAGCACGAACATCTGTCCTCTAATACACCCTATATAACATAGACAGTGACAGCACATGTTGGAGTGGGCAGAGGGATGATTCCCCCCCATTTATTTATAGTGAAGTGTCGCTGTCGAGGCGGTCACGACATAAAGCAGAGACTACAAGTAGTCTCAGTTAGCAACACTTTATTATTGAATATAGCTGATTTTTATACACTTTCTAGTTGTTTATCTTTTTTCTATCTTTACTATTGACTACAATAAATCAACATAATACTATTAGTGAAAAAGTTATAGTGACTTAATTAACTTTCTAAAAATGTTTCATCTAGCTGCAAAATTCTTCTATCCCTCCTCTCTCAGTCTCCTTAATTACAACTTTAGAAAAAACTCCTTATCAGTTTCTTCTTACTTCTCAGCTTCTTCTCGCTCCTTTAGCTAACAAGCTTGCTGTTAGCCCCTTCCACAGTCAAGTTTTCCCAACATTCTCCATTTGCTGTTTCCCTTTGCAGCTTCGCCCGTTTCTGTTGCAGGGTCAGATATCCTCACCCTGGGCTCTGCCTTGAGCTGTGCAAATTCCATCAGGGCAAGCAGGCAGAGCTTGGGGTGAGAGCAGAGGGAATCAGCCCAATTCCTGCCCCAGGCAAGAGACCCAGGTCCATTGTCCAGGCTTTGCCCAGCAGTGTTCATTTGCATTTCTAAAGCTCCTCTGCAGGCTGACTAAAACCAAAGCTTCTCTTCCAGGGCAGCCATCTGGTGACTCCCTTGTTCCTTTCTCACCCACCCTCCCTTGCTTCTTTTTGATGCCTTTCTTTTTTTCCCTTTTTTAACCGTATTCTGTTAACTGTTTATGAGTTAAAGCGTCGCATTTAAACCTCTTCTAGTTTTTCAAAATGCATCCTAAAGGTGAGCATGGAGAAACCCAGACCAAAATTGTGCCTTCACTAAGAGACACACACACATACCCAAAAAGCCTCTACTTCTCCTAAGAATAAAAATTGATTCTGACACCCCTGACCCAAACCTTACTGACCAAAAGAAGGATTATTAAGAAAAAAACATTCAAATGTTGTAATCTTGTCACCAAAAGGGTGGGAAGAGCCAAAACTCTCCCAACATTTCCAGTTCTAGAGAGTCAAGGCATTACTTGATTCTGGCCAGAATGTGCAAGAAAAATCATTTCACCGACACATAGTCCGGGTGTGCAGGGAGAATCGTTCAATGACACATGAGTTTACTAGATTTTTCCTAAACTTTTTACCATCCAAAACCCATAGAAATCCATTGGTTTATTGTTCATTGCTTCCAAGTTGTGTAAGTTTTTAGTATTTGGTTTCCTGTTGGACCCGGATTTCTTCCCCTCTGCTGTGAATTCGGTCCACACTCGTGGATTTCCTTCTCAGCCTTTTCCAGACCAGGTGTCTCCAGCTGTGCCGGGGGCAGTGTCTGGGGTAGCTGTTGGTTGCTGTTTGCTGCAGGGCGTTGATGTTTTGTTGCTGGTCGTTATCTCTGTGGGTGTCTTTTGGGCTATTCCCAGTCTGTGGAGATGTTGAACTCATCTCCATTGAGTGCTGTAACAGCCCTTAAATAAAACCTTTAAAATTTCTTTCCCAAGGCAAACCTTTGAGTAGAGAAACCATTCTGAGCAGAGAAAGAAGATTTAGAAGAAATGAACTTGGTACATTTTGCAGCACTGCAGTCGCAGTCAGCCCAGAGTGTGGGTGTGAGTGAGCCCCAGAGTGGAATTGTGCCGTGGTGCTCCCCAGCAGCTGTGGCAGTGCAGGCCCAGCCAGCGCTGAAGCTGCAGCAGTGGCAGCAAGGCTTGGCCGCAGTGGCTGGAGG